GGGCTCCACGGAAAGTGAATGTGTTGGAGTTCTGCAGAGCAAGTTGGCCACAACTCGAAGAAGGGAAGGAGAAAAGGATTTCACCTTTTGCCAGGCGGCTGCAAGTGAAGTTGGGTTCCCTCCAGTGAGATTGTGCAGCCTTTTCAATCCCTCTGATGTTATGGTGACCAGGCTGGAAGCGACCGACTAAGGACGCAAGGAGCTTGCGCTTTGATTTCAAGGTCTCTTCAGAAGGAATGGAGATGCAAAAAGGGAGAAGAGGAGGCCTATCGGGAGAAGAAATCCGGAGGCATGACTATTGTAGGGGGTGATTGTGGGGGATAGAACCAAGCTTGGTGGAGGCAACCACCTGAGAGAAAGAGGCCCAAGGAGGAGGGCGAGCAGAGGGAGGGTTAGAAGTGGGCGTGGATCTGCGGGTCACCAGAAAATAAGTTGCTAGAGACTGAGAGGTTAACTAGGTGGTCTAATGAGAGTTCTGGTGAAACAGAGCCTGAGAGGTTAAAACTTGAGATGTCTAGGGTGACAATTCTGCCTCTTTCGCAGCCTACTCCAGCTCATGAACAGATTGAATCTCCATTCGACAAATCCCAACTACTGAATGTCGGGTCAGTATGCAAGAAAATTTCCTTGAGAGAAGTTAAGATCATGGCACCAAAAAAGTGAGAAGAGGAGGGCAAAGAAGAGAGAGAAGAACCCAAGAGAGATTAATGAGAAGAGTAGTATTATTACCATTTTTCTATATCAAAACAGAGTTTACAACTTGGGTTCTGTGATTTTTGCAAAAGGGAGAAGCCTAGGAACTTGAAAAGGCATGAGGAGAGACAGAGTGAGAGACACCGGGAGAGAGAGAGAGAGTTAGGGAAATAGGGAGAGAGACATGGGGGAGAGAGAGAGAGAGAGTTGGGGAATAGAGAGAGAGGGGTTTGGGAGATTGGAGAGAGAGAGAGAGAGAGAAATGTGGAGAGAGCGGGGTTTAAAAGGATGTCTTTGTAAAATTTGTTTGGGCCAAAAAAATAAGGTAAAAAATGAGTAAAATTGGTCTAGGGGGTTTAAAGATATAATAAATATAATCCTTATGCAACTAGATAGGGTTTGAAACCTTGGGTTTATGAAGAAATGAAACTTGAAAATAGGGTCTATGAAGATATTTTCCCTATTTTATATTTATTTTTAATATATAAAATAAAATATTTTATATTACATAAATATATAATATATAAATACATATTACATATAATATATATAACATAATATAATATATAATAGTGGATTTTCTATTTATTATATTGTATAATATATAATAAAACATATTATATTACATAAATGATAATATATATAACATAGTATATTTTATATTTATTTTATTATATAATATATAATATTTAATATACAATAAAAAATATTGCATATTATACAATAAAATATAAAACATATATTATATATAACATAATATAATATATAATATAGTGTATTTTATATTTATTTTATTAATATATATAATATATAATATAATAAATTATTTTATTAATATTTATTTGTATTATAATATCTATATATAATATAATATAATATAATATAATATAATATAATATAATATAATATAATACAAATACAACTATAAATTAACAATAGAAATATAACTATAAGGAAGGAAGCAGAATAGGGTTTGAGGAACCAAGTTCCTATTTTAAGTTCCATCATTTTAGATGGAACTTTTTTTCTTAAGTACAAGGGAATTAGGAAGTTCTAGGGGGAACTTATTTACTATATACGTTTTGCGCATCAAACACGGAACTTGTACAGCTATAGGGAAGTTCCTTCTTCCTCCCCTAACTTCCTGTTATCAAACACGCCTAAATGACTTGAAAATGTTTGCTCCTCCAAAGAATAACATTGCAAGTGAAAGTCTGAGCTCAAAGGAAAGTGATGAACACAAGAATGATAGTGAACCATTCTTAATAAGTCGACATCAGATGGACAGTTTTGTTGAAGACAATGCTGAGAAATGTGGAGATGATGAAGATATCATTCCTTGTAATCCAGGAGAAGAATTCGTGCCATTTTTCGAGGATGACCAGCATACAAGCCAAAGTAGTGGCTCAACAAAACTACAACACGTGAAGTCATTGTGTACAAAAGAAGAGCTTCGGTGGGGTAGCAACTGAGCACATCAGAAAGACCAACAAATGAACACACAGACCAGCTCTTGGAACCCACAAACCTCTACTTTGTGATTTATTGAAAGATCGATAAATTTTCGATTCTTTTGATTTCTTCCAAAATCAAATACAATGCTTTGTGGTAGCATGCGGAGCTTCTAGTGGTCAATAGTGAGGACTTTTGGCGAATGAATAGACGAGGTTAGGGCCAACATCATTTTCTTTTTGATATTTTTAGAGCATTATGCCATTATGATATTTGAATAAGGAATTTGAGTTGTTTGCTATAGTGTATTATGTTTTGAATCATTTGATTTTTCTTTTTTTAACTTTGTGTTCTTTTAAGATATATTTACATGTTTATAGTTGAAAAATTTCTTCTACTTTTTTTGTGATTGACTGATTATTAACTTGTATGGACGATGAAATTGGTCCTATATCAAATTCTCTTATGAATAATTGGTTCTTATTTTGTACAATGTGTGACGTGTTGATATCCGTATTAGTTTTGTTTTACTTTTTTGATATTTCTACATATTTGTAGATGGAAAATTTTCTGATTTGGACTTATACTTTTGCAAGTAGTCATAAACTTTGGATGAAATTGATATTTTGTGAATATTTGATATCCAAAACCAAATCTTATGAATATTAATGAATAAATAATAATTATATTATGCCTTTTTGAACGCTGGTTGTGGCCACTTTATTGAGGAGCTCAACTAGCATTAAAAGAACAACCTATTGAAAGTTGGGTAAGATATGGATGTTTCACTCATGAATATCAATTATTCTTGAGTGAGATCCTTAAGATCAGAGAACCATCAACATACTTAGAGGCTACAAAGGATAAGAGGTGGATTGAAGCTATGCAAGAAGAAATTCAGGCCATGCAAGTCAATAAATGGGAGATATTACTAAGACCAAAAGATAAAAATGTGGTAGGAACAGTTTCAAAAAAAAAAAGATAAACATATGGTAGGTTACAAATTGGTATATAAGGTGCAATGTAAATCAAATGGAAATATAGAGAGATTCAAAGCAAGGTTGGCAGCCAAATGGTCAACAACACGAAGTAGATTATGAAGAAACCTTCAGTCCAGTTGTTAAGATTGTGACACTTCGCATTATTTTATCATTACCCTTGGCCTATGATTGGCCACTCTACTAGTTGGATGTAAAGAATGCATTTCTTTATGGGGAGTTAAGAGAGGAGGTTTACATGAGCAACCGCCAGGATTTAGTGAAGCAAATTCAAGGGAAGGAAGTATGTAAACTGTAATTGAATCACTCAATTTATGGATTGAAGCAAGCATCCGGAATGCAGTTTCAAAGTTTTCATAATGTATTAAAGGAGCAAGGATTTAAAAGAGAGGCAATTGACAACTCTCTGTTCATCCAAAGAAGTGACGCCGATATTATAGTTGTGCTTCTATATGTTGATGACATTAGAGTTCATATGTGTGGATTGCTGATGTGAAGAGATTTCTCAACAATAAACTCCGAATGAAAGATTTGGGAGAAGTAAGGTACTTTCTTGGATAGAAGTAGATCAAGATGCTAATGGAATTAAGTTATCTCAACAAAAGTATGCCTTAGAATTTCATGAAAAACTAATATGGTGCATTGTAGGCCTTTTGGAGCGCCTCTTGCCATGAATAAGAGGTTTAGTAAGAATGAAGGGAAATCATCAAGAAAACCAAAGAAGTACAGGAGAATTAGAGCGGCTTTACAATATCTCACACTAACACTACCCAATATGTCATATACAATGAATCAGGTATGTAAATTTATGCGTATGCCCACTTCATCTCATATGGAAGCCTAAAAAGAGAATAATCAGGTACATTAAAGGAACATGGAGTCATGGCATGGTCTACCATAAAAATGATGTAAAGAGTTTGCAAATTGAAACAACAATGGGATAGTCAAATCCTGATTGGGAAGGTGACCCAGATTCATGAAGGTCAATCTCCAAATTATGTGTTTATCTTGGTAAAAACTTCATCTCATGGAGAAGTAAGAAAAAAATGACAGTAGCCAGGTCTAAGTGCTCAAGCTAAATATCGGGTGTTAGGAACTGTTATATCCGAGATGTTATGGATTTGCAGTCAGATACCACATTGAGCATGAAAACTCAAAGATCCTGAGCGTTTTGTTGTAACAAGAGTGCCTTAGCCTTAGCAGCAAATCCAGCAGTTCATGATAGATCTAAACATATTCAGATTGATTATCATTTTTTGCGGGAAAGAATTGAAGCAAGGTTCATGGGCATAGAAGATCGAATAGTAGACATATTTACTGTATGTGTCAGTCATATTGGTCAGGGGTATATCGGTAATTTTGTATATGGTTGTGAATTATTATAGTATTCGTAGTTCATGTTCATTGTAAAGGACAATTATGTAATTTCTGAATTTATTTGTACCCTTATCTAGTGCTAGAAACAAAATACAAATAACATCTTTGAGTGCAGCCCCTCGCTCGTCAATAAATTAGGGGTCACATCACTCTTCTTTGGCTTCCTCTCTATCCCTCTCTACCGTGCCACAACTTGGTTTTCTCTCTATAGTATTCAGGTGATTTTTTAACATCGATATTGTCCTTTGGCTACAAGAATCTTGTATCATATGACCCAAATTGATTCATAGTTGAACACCATCGGTTCAAGTGTTAATAATATAGGGTAATCACACATGCCCTCACTACCATGGTAAACAAGCAAATTGGGGTAAAAGACACCTTAAACATGGTAAGAAAAAAGGCATAGAAACATAAATGGTATGAATGAAATGTATTAAATAGAAGGAATTCGAGACAAGAAATATGATCTTCACATACCTCACAACTTGATCCAACCGAGAGACGAGAAATCCCCCCACATGTCCGTATATCAAATAGTCCAACAGTTCCATCCCCGGCACCTTTTTCATTGGGGATACCATATTATCAAAAGGTCAAAATTAAGTTCAAAACAAAAGAATTCAAAGAAATAATCAGGAAAACAAAAAAACAAAAAACAAACAAACTCACAAAAGTTGAAAGAAGACTCACCAGTGATTATGGTAGTACAAGCTGGATTTATTTTCAGCGAGGTAATGTACTACAAAAACCCAATCAACAAAGGTTAGCATGTTGGTGATCAAGCAATAACATAACTCCAATAAGTTGTAAGTTACAAGCAACATACAGAGTCATTTGCTGGGAAAGAAATTGAATCATGAGAAGCTTCAATATCCCAAAGCTGCACAAGAGCTGGCCCGCCATATGCAGAATCACTACCACAAACAAGGAGGTTTTGGCTACAGAACTCCATCGCATCAATGGAAGGTAAAACCCGGTCTTTCAACCTACATCAAAATTTAAGACAAGGCAGGACAGATGAGGTAACACAATTTAAAGTAAATAAATAAAACGAACTGCAAGAATCAAATGGTAATTGCTAATACAAGGTTAACAGAAAGCCTCAAACCGAGAATCCGATATTGGGCATACCCTGCACATATATGTTTGGATAATCAAATGGTAATTGCTAATACAAGATTAACAGAAGCCTCAGATTGAGAATCAGATATTGGGCATACCTTGCACATATATGTTTGGATATGGTATGGGATTTGTATATCTAGTGAATTCCTAAGAGAGGAAGTCTTGTTATTAAGCTAATAAAAAATACGATAAATTTTTAAGCTATAAAACCTGGAATTATACAATTATGCTATGTAAATGTAGCTTCCCATATATCCATATGGATATGAGATTGACTAACCTTATCAGCCACAACCACCACCTGTACTCACCACGCCCCTCCCCCCCTTTCCTTCTTGGGGGACCCCTCCAATAAGCCCCATTTCTTGCATCAGATGCTTTTAACCAGAGGTTTTTTAATGTATTTAAGCTAAAGCATGTGATTCTTTATAAAAACCTAGACCTCCAAAACCTTAAATCTACACCCCATGCTTTCTCATATCAATCAAAGACTTCAAGGTAATATCATAATTGACCAAGGGTTATTCATGTAACAGCTGTTGGGTCCTAGCCAGATACCTGTTGGGGTTTGTGGCCTTTAAAGGCCGTAAGAGCATGTAAAAAACATTTATAGTAGAATATACACTTCAGAGGGGGTATGTATTGTTCGATTAACCAAGGGTTAGGCGGTCTATGGCCCTGGTCATATCCAAAACCCTTACCCCTGGGTAGGTGGCACTATCAATAAGGGTTTACAGAGGAACATTATGTATTGTTTGATTAACCAAGGGTTAGGCGGTCTATGGCCCTGGTCATGTCCAAAACCCTTACCCCTGGGCAAATGGCACTATCAATAAGGGTTTACAGAGGGGCATCCTTTGTTGAGGTCGGACAGGTGCCCAGGGATAGTTTGTAAGCCAGGAGTATTGTGCGGTCTCTTGTGTGCTAATGAAGGCTTATAGAGCGAGGGCTACATCCTCAACAAATTTCTTCACGACATGAACATATGACAACCACATTATCGGGAAGAAACCCTAAAGAGGGATACGTATACATGTGTATAAAGAGAGTCCCCCTTGCACTATAGATACACGCTTGACTTGCTCTTGGGCGGGGTGGGGGGACTGTAATCCACATATTAAGATTATGGTTCCATTGTTTATTGACCAGTTTTGACTAGTCAATCATGAGCCCCTGCATGATACTGTGGGTCATGGGTTTCGTTGGCTTGGTTTGAGAAGACAGTTGTGTATCACGATCATTGGGTCGAGTGGAGTACCTTTATAATCACTTGGCTTTGACCTATTGGTACCAGTCCACTTCTAGATATTTTATATTTAGTATTAAAAATATTTTTGTGAATTTTAGAATTTTTAAAAATTATTCCTGCTGTAATTTCCTTGAAAAAAAAGGTAGTTTTAAAAATTATATGAGTAAGGAAGGGCATGTGTCGGGCCCTTGTATCCAGCCCCGCATGTGTGCCACACCCCAAGAGTGGGCCGTGGGCCCATATGGGCCACATGTCACCTATAGGGGTGGCAAGCCCCCTTGTTTATTTGTTTAGTTCTTGATTTAACTAAAATTCTTTTAAATAAGGTTAGTTAGATAATTTTTTTAAAAAAGAAAAGAAAAGATTATGTGTGCCTATTTTTATGGGAGTTGGTTTTTGACCAAGAAATATTACTGACTTCCTACAATTAGAAATAAATTTGGAAGTTCTAGAAAGTTTTTAAATTGGTCTGATCCTAATTTAACTAGAAGTGGATATGGGTCAAATATCAAGGGGATAAAGTTCCTCATATGCCTCCTAAAATCATGATGGCTGATTTGTAGTATGGATGGCTCTAATTTACTCTCTCTCACTTCACAGTTTTCCTAATTTCCTATTGGTCAAATAAGTCATTGGATAGGCATACCTAGGGGGGCATGTGGCCTATATAAGGAGATATACCTCCTCTCATTACCCACAATTTTGGAGCCTCTCTCTCTCTCCTAATTCTATCCTCAACCTCTCTCCTAATTCTCTCTCCTCCATGCCTTAACTCTCTCTCTCATCTCTATGGTGCCCATCTCTCTTCTCTCTCTAACCATTAGTGGCATGTCACCCATGGATAAATTAAAGAGGGTGGCACGCCTAACCCTAATTAGGGTGTTGTAGAGAGAGGACTAGCCTAACCATAGAAAAAGGGAAGTATCTTTTTTAGGCATGCCCTAATTATGTGTCTATGCTCTCTAAAACCAAAGTTTAATAAGTATTGCCAGAGAAAGCTTCTGGGCTCTAAAAATTCAGCGAGACCAATAGGATTGAAGTGCACCATCGGTCAGGAAATCGAGTGTAGGATGTACTAAATCCTATGGAGGTGACCTTAGGCATAATTGAGCAAGTCTTCCTGGCTGTTTAATTTTATTTTTTGGTCATATTAAAATATGTACTGTGATTTTCCAGGAACATTATCTGTACTCAAATTGATAGTAGAAATTTGGTTTTTATTCATAGATGGTATTTATTTATTTTGACAGTAAAAGGAAAGGTCCTATTTTGTATTTAGGTTTTTAATTTTCTTTTACAGCAGTATATTGTAGCACTTGTAATTGGAATTCAGATCCTATAATAAAGAAAGAAGAATTTTTTATTTGATAGCCTTGAATTCCACATAGCCACTTCTTTCAATGCTTGGATTCCAAATGAGGCCACATAACATTTTTTTTATATAATTGTTCTAGTAGGGATGAAACTCAGCATTTCATGAATTTCAGGATAAGGATATAGACCCAAGCATATCCTACCTAACACATCTATACCTAGCTTGTATAATATAAAAATATGTGCATCCAACACATTGTTTATTTTTACGGAAACGGCTTCCAAACATTGATAAGGGAAAAGAACCAGCGAACACCTCACATTAATTTATGAAGACCATTGCAGTGCATCATCAAGTTTATGATTACGACTGACATACATTTAAAGAGCCAAAATTATGCTCACAGTGTATTCATACCCAAGATCATTGCATACCTCAAATTCACATTTAGGTCAGCAGCCAATTCTCCATTCAAGGCATTCCATAGAAGGAGCTTTCCATCCCCTTCCCCACCACTTGTGACGACCAGACCTGAGCAAAAAGAGAACTACATCTCTTAAGTCCAAGTCAAAAGAGATTGCAAATTCAGAATTGGAGGTGGAAAAAGCAAGTATGATAAGTGCAATATACATGATTGCCAGCGATTGACCGCAACAGCGTTGATCTTCTTTATGTGTCCAGCGGCATCTTGCTCATTACCAAGAGGCCCCAAAGTAAAAAGGCATGCACCAGTTGTGGAGTCCCAAACCTGTACTCAACTTTACAAAGGTCATTGGTAATTAATTAAATGCATATATCCATGTGATGAATGCAGGTCTTTTTCTACTTTATGTAATTAAAATATGCTAGTGCACATGAGCTCTGCAACAACCTTTAACAAGTTAGCGCCACAAGACACGATGCTAGCACCCTTCACGGCATATTCCACTGCTTGAATCTGTCCATCAATCAGATCATCCAACTGTGTAAGGTGCATATTCTCTAAAACACAAGGTACACAACAGGGGACAGATCCTTGTGCATTATAAATGCAAAAACATAAAGCTAGCCCTCACTATCTAATGAGAAGCATCAAACTTTAAGGAGAATAACCTTCTCAACAGTGACATAACACCAACATACAGAGATGAGAATTCAATCCAATTTCCTCACAGGAAAATTCTTAGAAAATAATCACTTAGTATGCAGATTACAAATAAAACAACTTGGAACTCACAGCAGGTGTAACAACATTATAAAACAACTAAGTCATCATTAACAACATTATAAGTCATAGCGCTCAAAGGGTCCTACCCACTCGTCCATTGACTACATAGACATAAACATGCATGCGCACACAAAGAGAGAAAAATTCAATAAGTAGTAAGTTGCAACTTTAAATTGCGAAGACCAAAAAAATAAAACTCAGCTCCTACAATAAAGTTACTTTATTCTTCTATCTATAAGCGAGTCCTAGGCATAATTTGAATCAAGAAACAGAAATCTCTAGATCTATGTGGGGTCCTCACCATAGAAGAATTTCTAGACATGTTCCAGGTCCTTAAATGGAGAACTTTTATATGTCTGCCAACTGCCATCAACTAACACTATCTAGGACTTCAGAATATGAACATTCAGTCAAAACCACATCACAAAGTGCCTAGCTGTACCATGCATTAACAACTTGAGCACTCAGATGAAGTCATATCTCAAACTGCCTAATGCATCAGAAACCATAAACCAACCGAAAACATCCAAAGGATCTCTATTTTCATGATTTCCACATATTAATAGAATTGAAGTGTTATTTCTTCAAACAAAATTTCTGTAGATAGTAACATAGAGAAGGTAAATGCGAATGCATTTGACCAACAAAGTTCAGATGGACCATATACCTGGCAGTTATGACCTCTCAGTTCAATTGCCTTGCCAGCAAGAAGATTATACAACAGCAACTCGTTAGGTGCCTGCAACAATAATCCAGATCCTGGTAAATTAAGAGATACATTTCAAACACATTAATAACAGTGCACAACAGGGTATGGTGAAATGTTCAAATCAATGTCTGCCACTATGCAATGTAACCTAAGGAGAATGTCTTATATTGGAGATCCGATACAAATATTATGATTTTGGATGCCTACTATCAGTTTGAGATAGACTATCACGCCATAAAATTCACCAAGGAACAGGGGAAAAAAGGAAAGAAAAAAAAAGCCAAACTCAAGACTTACCTCATTAGAGCTGCACACGAGTTGAGCAAGTCCACCAGGATGAAACCTGACATCTAGAACCTTTTGAACACTTTGCTGCAGGCATTTAGAAAAGATTAAATATCACCAGAATGCAAGTTTGTAACAGGAAGCTGGCTATGAATATAAAATTTTAATTTCAAAAGAATAGAAATTTTCACATTTAGATTACTGATAAGTTTTCTTCAAGAAACAAATGATCATGATTTTTTACTATTTCACAACATGCCACAGTCTTAAAAATTATAAGACCAGCAACAAATTTTCCTTTGAAATTTGTTGCCATATCAAATAACTATCCCATCCTTAGATTGCAATCTAGTACATTAAGGCCTAAATATAAGCACTCAATAACGTGTGTCACACGATGCTCCATCTAAGAAATTAGATGAAAACTAATTTTCGAAATATTAAATTATTAAAAGGAAATATTCACAATATTTTATTTTATTTTTAAGTCATCCAATATTATGTTTTTCAATTTTTATACTTAACCTTTTTCTAAATTTTTATATTTTGGGAAAACCTAGATATCATTATAGTAGTTCGTATTTTTTGGGAAAACCTAGATATCATTATAGTAGTTCCTATTTTGGTAGGAATAATTCATATTTCTAAATTTTTCTTAACTTTTCTTCTTATGCATGACCCAAATACAACTGTCAAATTTTCTCTTATTTCTTCTCTATATTAGATTAATTAATAAAAATAGGATTTGGATTAAACATGAAGAAACTTATATGGGGGAGATAGATATTTCTTTTTGGTAAGTGTACCATTGGATTCAAAAGGAGTGGCTAAGTGGAATTCAAAGTATTAAATTCAAAAAATTTCTTTTTCTTTTATTCAATATATGATTTCCACTTATATGGGCTATACACTGCTGTAAATTAAATTCAAAACCCCAAACACAATACGTTTATTGTCAAAGCAAATAAAAACCATCCAGGAGCAATAATCAATATTCTACTATAGTTTTGAGTACAATATATATTCCAGAATGAAAAATAATTAAATCAACTGGGAAAACTTACTAGATGTTGCTTGGAGTAGCCCTCACAGGTCTTGATACACCCCACACCCGATTCCCTAATCGATGGCACAGCTTTACACCCTTTTGATCTTGCAGGAATTTCAGAGATAAGAAGCTTTCATAGGCAATATCTCTTACTTTAGGGTTTTAGAGAGCATGGAATCGTAACTAGGGTTTGTAGGAACCCTTAGGAACAAATTAGAGTTGGGCTTAGATGCATAGAATCCTCCTACATTGGGTGTATCCCTATTCTTCTCCAAACAGCAAAACCCTAATGAGGGTTTCAATGTACGACCATTGTCTTATCAAATTTTAGGTGGCACGACCCTTTTTAGAAGAGGAAAGAGAAAAATGAAATTGGCAATGAAAGAGAGAGAGAGAGAGAGATAGATTTGGTGCATGGAGGAGAGAGAAGTACGTGTGTTGAAAGAAAGAGGCTCAATGGTGTTTAAATAGTTTGAAATCCTTCTATTTGGATTTAGAAATCCTTCTTTAGGTATTGCTTATCCAATGACATAGCTTAACCAATAGGAATTTAGGAAATCTGTGGGGTGAGAGATCAAATACGAGCCATCCATCCCACAAATCAGCGATCGTGATTTTGGGAGGCTTATTAGGAATCTTATCCCCTTATAATTTGATCCAAATCCAACTTTTATTTAAATTAGAATTCTAACCAATCCAAAACCTTCCTAATATCTTTCCAAAATCTATAGCAAGTCAAAATAATTAGAGTTTCGGTCAAACCAAACTCCTAATTGTTTTAACCTTTTAAAAACATAACTCCACTTGAATAGGAATCAATAATATTTTTAATTTTAAAATATTTTTAACTAACTAAAACTATTAACTAAAAGTGGCACATAAACAAAAAAATGGGCCGTGCCACCCTAGGGACTTTATGTGGGCCCCACAAGGCTACACGGGTGACACACACATGTGGAGGCTAGATCCTAGTTCTCCACATGTACCCTTTGTAGTTATGAAAATTTTCAAAAATACCCTTTTCAATGAATTTATAGTAAAAATAAACTTTTGAAATTCTGAAAAATTTACAAAAATCACAAGAATCACAAAAATATTTTTACTACCAAAATAAAATATTTTAGAAGTGGACTGGTACCATTGGATCAAAATTAGCAACAATAAGGGCACTCCACTTGACCTAAGAACCATGATCCACTACTGTCTTCTTATCCAACCCAACAAAGACACATGACCCAAAGTCTCAATGCAAGAGCCCATGATTGGCTTTTCAAAGTTGGACAATAAATAGTGGAACCATGATCCTGAATTGTAGATTATAGTCCTCCCCACTTTAAGAGCAAGTCCAACACTTATCACTAAAGTATAATGGGAGCTCCTTCTATGCATATGTACATGTGACACTTTATAAGGCTACTTCCCAGTACTGCGGTTATTATATGTACAAGCCGTGCAAAAGTTTGTTGAAGATTTGGCCCTTTCTCACAAGCCTACAACTGCACACAAAAGACCACATAGTTCTCCTGGCCTACAAACATCATCCTTGGGCATCTCTACGATCTCATCAAGAGATAACCAATTGTAAACCCTTCTCGATAGTGCCACATGCTCAAGGGTAAGGGTTTTGGACATAACCTGGCTATAAACATCCCAATCATGGTCAATCCACACACACTCCTACTGAAGTGCATATTGGACTATAACTTATTATTTTTACAAGTCCTCTAGGTCATCAAAGGCCACAAAACCCAACAGGCTGTCTCATTCTTCACTAGTGGGAGCCCCTTCCCCGTGGGTGGCCCTTCTGATAACATCTTCAGAAATAATTTTGGCGAGGTCTTTGACGGGCTGACAACTGAAACAAAGGAAATCAGGTATCTCCTAAGTGTGACGGGCTGCATCTTGCCATATAGGGGTGTGGGAGATAAGAAGTTGGAAGGCTATTTCCCCCACCGGTTCGCACGCCAACATGGCTTGGATCAAGGATGTTGTTCACCATTCTCTTTGAGAAGAGTGGTTGAGGCCTGATTTTTTCCTCGTGTGGACGGCGGGAGAAAATCCTCTCTCAAACAACCACAAAGGGTCCGTGCGTGCAGTATGTTTGTGAGTGTGCGCACACGTGCCCTCCTAAGCATGGATAGGAACCCACAAAGGAAGAGATTTTACGACAGGGGTGAGTTTGGACGCTTACCTCGTCGTTTGGGGTTCGGGGACACACTCGGGCAGTTCTCCCTCTTAGAACAGTTACGAAGTCCTCCAGCTATCTGCCATCATGGTTTTGACACAAACTCTCCTCAAGCTTTAACACGTCGCTCCGTTCTCTCATGCTGGAAACTGTAATATGGATTCGTCGGTACTCCTCTATAAAGGCTTGCTCAAACGAGGGGGACTAGCTGGCAAAAGTTAGAACAAGGGGAGAAATGGGTACAAGAATCCCTCTATCCGCACAAATGCTATGCGCTCGAGCAATCAGGGCAGCTACCCTCTTGCCCGGTTCCTAAGGTGGGCCAGAAGGAAGAGCGAGAGTAAGGAGATCACTCCTGGCCTCCTTTCCAAGTTGGCGGGAGAGGGGAGGGGAAGCAACAGTGGACGGGCCAGCGAAGACCTGCTCACCACTAGGCGGGTCAGAATGAAGCGATGAGGGCGACGACTGAAGCGGCAGAGCCAACGACGGATGGGGCTAGAGGTCACGATGGTGGACAATGGTGGCAAACAGATCTGGAGGCCGTCGTTGCCTTCTTCTCAGTCGCGCCTTCTTGGATACCAGAGTCGACTTCAATCCACAAGGTTTTGGGGATAAGGCTGGGGTCCAAAACTTCCACCAGAAGTCATATTGAACCCAGCGGAAGGGTTTCTAACGAAATCCAGTGGATCGAGATAAGAGAACCACAAGCACTCGCTAAACGCCAGAAAGTGCCAGGGGACCATGCTAGGAGAGGGATGTGGTTGAAAGTAATCCACACCCTTTGTTTCCTAATGGACCCCTCACTGAGTGTCCAGGCTCGAAGGAGGCAACGGGCTCCATGAAAGGTGAAGGTATTGGAATCCTTCAAAGAAAGTTGGGTAATACTCACAGAGGGGAAGGAGAAGAGTATATCACCTTTTGCAAGGCGACTGCAAGTAATGTTTGGTCCCCCCCAGTGTTTTTGTGCGGCTCTTTCGATCCCTCTAATATTATGATGCCCAAGCTGGAACGAACCGATCAGAGCCGCGAGGAGCTTGGGCTTCGACTTTGCAGTCTCTTTTGGAGAGATGGAGATGCAGAAGGGGAGAAAAGGAGACCTTTCGGAACGTGGAGGTTTCCATTGCCAATGTTGTAGCAGAGGGGGTTGAGGGGGGCAGTAACCGGCTTAGTGAAGGCTGCTACCTGAGAGAAAGAGGGCTTAAGAGAAAGACGGGAGGGAGGATGAGTGATAGAGGGCAAGGATCTAAAAGGAGAAGGGAAAGATGGAGAGGACCGGAGGGTTTTGGGGTAGAGATTGTAGATGTCAGTCCAACATCTGGGACGATGAGGAGGATGGGGAGGAGGGCGAGACATGCTTTGTATCTGAGTTGTTGATAGAGAGTAACAGAGAGTCAGAGACATGTTCTCTTGATCTCAACATTATAGAGAGAGATTTTGGGGATGAATAATTGAGAGAGTTTATAGAGAGAGGCAGGCTTGCCCCATGATCCTACAAAGATTAGTTGAAAACTTCAAAGATATTTAATTTAAATGAAGATTTAATTATTTTATTTTATTTTGTGTTTAAGTTATTTTATTTTATTTTGTGTTTAAGTTATTTTAATTTATATAGTTGCTAAAGTTTCTAACGGATATTTCCTAATTTCTGAATAACCAAAATACTATTATAGAAATTCCTATTTTTGATAGATAATTAGCAATATAAAATCCCTTTATAAATATCTTATTGAGTTTTCGGTTTTCACTCACTCCTATTTCTTCTCCATAATTACTTTTTGAAAATCAGAATTTGAATAGAATTTATTTTTATTTTTTACAACTATATCGGTGGCTTTAGACAACAAATCTAAGAGATTCTTAAGTTTGGAGATCTTGGTAATGTGTGTGTGTGTGAGTGTGTGTGTGTGTGTGTGTGTGTGTGAGTGTGTGTGTGTGTGTGTGTGTGTGTGTGTGTGAGAGAGAGAGAGAGAGAGATTCTAGGAAACAAGAACGGTGAAAAATTTAGATGTCAAACTCCTGTTAACCTCTCATACAATCGTAGAGTTTTGACATACATCTATTCTGCCAAGAGGTTGTGCAACAGCAGCGCTTGAAGTATATGCATTCCAAGTGGGAACCCAAGATGAATAACCCTTCCTTTCTAGAAACACTGCAGGCCCAAGAAATTGTCTGCCAAGAGAATTCCATCCTGTTAAAGGGTAACAAGATAGTAAGTATTGTGCTAATCTCTGGGATCCATGAAATTTCAGTTGATCCATGATATTTTTTTTAATCCATGAAATTCCAGATCAAAAAAGATAAAAAAAAACAAACCTTCAAAAAATGGAATCCACCTTTCCCGGTGTCTTCCAACATACCCAACCGATGGAAGTGTCAATGGCCAAGCAAAGCCTCTTTCTCGCCCCTGCACGCACTTTGCAATGTTCTTGCAATACTCTCTTAGTACGGAGTTTCCAGCTGAAGACGTCTGAGATGTAGAGGAGCAAACTTCGACATCCCGACCAGATTGTGTTCCAGTATCATCACAATTTACATGGGGGCCTTTGTTCAAAAGAGTGCCTGAAAGAAATAGCCAATTTTTAGATAAAGAAGTTCACTATCTCCAAATATCAAATTGCATAAGCAGACAATTAAATTCGATGATAATCATCAGTTGTAGATTGGCCAAATATGCAACAAATCATGGATAAGATATACACACTGGTAAGATAGATGTCTATCAAGATTTTTCCTAATCAGGCTTCGTCAGAAAAGATAATCCCCAGGAAAATGCTAACTCAAGATTTCTAAACACACTAATGGATATCATCTATAAAATACAGAAACTCTAAAGGTTCAGAAGGTATAAAGATCTTTCAGAACCATCCAAATTTGAAATCTACAAGAAATTTATGTTATATTCTTTTCTAAGCTACTAAAGCATGTAATGTAACAATGCCACCCATGTTGAAAACTCAGCAGCTGCAGCATGCTGGAAGACAGTTGCCTGCAGAGTAGTGCTACCACAACACATGGGTTTTCCCTTGGGGTTGCATGTCATTAACTCCACAAGTGTTGACATGGTATATACACACTGCCTGCATGTATCTCCTGCAGTGGGGATGCTGACATAGAGTGCTGATACATTTAATGAACGTGACAACCAGTTAGACAGAGTCATGGGTCTTTGTACATTATAAAATAGGTGGCTCATGTGGATTTGAACCCATTGACCTCATGAGAATAAAAACTCTAGCACAAAGCGACCAGTTATATTTGTTCCTTAACATTACTGTGATGTGGATACCTTTCCAAAAATTCACTGCAATCGTCCAATAGTTGATACAGTCATCAATACAAAACACAACCCGTAAAGATATCATGAATGAAATTACTCAATAACTCTCTGTCTATGCACCAAGTAAATGGCTGGCTTCAATTGAACCAGGGCTCCTTTCCAATTAATGGGCCTTTGGTTCTAGGGTTGACACAGCGGGTGGTTCTGGTGGAGGTACCCAGAGGTGGGAAGCCAGCGGGAGTTCGTTTCCACACGAGGGAGACTGGAAATCACTCAAAGAATATGGCCACTATGACTCATTAGAGTGCATTGCAAGATTTCTACCCTCAAGATCTTTCCCATTTAACAACCATATCTAGAACAGGATATACACCAAAATTATACCTTAGCAAGAAAACTAAACAAACCTGTGGGAGCAGCATGCTGTAGGACTCTAAGATCTTGAAAAAGCCCTGAAATAACACTACTCTCCATCATGCCCCAAGTTAACCTCACTTGATTATGAAGCTTCAAACACCAAGCTTGATAGTGAGGGATCAAGAAAGACGCACTCCAAATTGGATATCTAAAATATAATGCTTAAGTGCTCAATGGGTCAGCAATTGAGCATTCGGACATAAAGAATGTACTGTTGCATCCAGTAAGATCCTCTTAAAATTTGTGTATCAGCATATTTATCCTTGTTACTAGAGTGTTCAATGCTCTACTTCTACAGATGCCAAATCACATGCTTATACCCCTAAACCTTGCCTATTTGATATCACTCAGACCTTCAAATATTCACTAAAATAGGACGATGAAAAGAAGCATTTCCTCAAAGCATTATCATAATGAGCACGGAAGCGGAAGCCTTATGCCTTTTAGGGGAGCTGGGGCTTTAAATAGAAGTGTCAATTCTTGTGAACAGTCAAATTAATGCTGTTCATCTATTCATAGATGAAAAATTAACAACATAAAAAAGAATAAAAAACAGACAACATGAGTATCTCAACTGCCAAGATATCGTCTCGGTTAACCTTATAGTGAGTAAAATTTAAGATGCAATGAGGAGACAGCCAGCCAAGTTCACAAGAATTGGCATATGCATAGCAAACCAAGCATGATTTATGAAGAGAAGGAAAACAGTGAATTGACTCGTACTTGGCCCCCACTCAAACCGGATGAGAGGATTGATCAGAATCCATGTACAAAGAGGAAAGAACCTTCATCAAACAGATAAGTAGATATGGGCAAGGTAGAATAATGCATCATAAAAAAGGAAAAACCACCTCTTGGTATTATTTTCAGTGCTACTCTCCGATTAACTACTTCTAATGGGAACATGTATCTGCTACACATGTATATCAAAACTCATCATAATGGGCAAGACAGGATCAGGAGAGCCCAATTATAAAACTATGAACTACTTTTACAAATACCATTTGGCTCAGTACCGGAGGATGCTTCACAATATGCCCAAGCAAGGGTCACTGCTCCAGTATAATCTTTGGTTCTCCTTCTTTTTCTCCCTTGTTTTGTATCTGAAGAAGATCTAAGCCTCGATTGTCCTGTTGAAGAGACAGTTCCTGCATCTTGGGGCTGAGACATGGCCAAAGCCTTAACCCTGGGAGACCCTTCCTCACGAACCCCATCTGAGTTCCCACAATTATTATTTCCTGTGGGCCTTTGTCTAGAGGCATCTTTCAAATCATTAACTTGTTTCTGTTTAGAAAGAAGCCTTGTCAGCTGGTTCTGTAGATCAGATAAACTGCAAAAACACAAAACAGTAAGCCTGCATTGAAACTCATAATGCAATTGTGGATGAACAAACATGATGGATGTCAAAACTTACAGTTCGTAGCGAAGCAAGGCTTCATCTTTACCCAATAAAGAACATCCAGTATCCTCCAATCCATTACTTGAGCAATTAACTGGAACAAGTTTAACCATCCTAATTATGTATAAGCACAGGTCATGGCTAGGGCAAATGAGGATAGAGAAATAACAAACAACCATCACATACCACAATCACCTATTTAAGAATGATTGTGGTGAAGAGAAGAAGGAACGAATTTATCTATATTATTCTATCATTTCAAATTCAATTTTCCACACCTCGCCAATATTAATCTTTGTTAAACACTTCAATGTCCAATCCTCAGATAGACCATGCGCTTGAGAATGTGTCAATACTTGCTTATTGAACGTAAAAAGCAATTTTTTAATATTGTAAGTTCATGAATTACCAAACTTCTCATATCAAGAAGGACAGCAAAATATGACAAATACCCACTCAAACTTCTCAAAATAAAATGCCTCCATAATCACATGAAGCAAAGCCTGTATAAACTATGTATCCAATGGTCTAAGTAACATTAAAGCCTGTATAAACTATGTGTCCAATCGTTAAGCAACATTAGCAACAAGAACGATCTAGTAACCAAAACAACAAAACTCAGCATGTAAAGAACTATGCAAGTGAACATCAGCAATGTAAATATACGAGAACAGTAGCACATTATATATATGAGAGAGCACTACCAGGTTCCACAATGGCGAGGGCTGCAGCACCATTGCCCATGCGCTTTATTGGAGACCTTTTGGATGGCTGAATAACCTACTCCCATCAATATAAAAAAGTTTGGCATAAGATTGGCATCTGCAGTTTCCTCAATCTTCACTATGTATATGACAAAAGCATTTGTGTATCAGTATTTAAATAAAAGGGCAAACATGATTATACAAATTAAAGAATTGTTTTAAACTAAGAAAATCAGTAAAAGACTATGCAACTCACAAAGTATAGTCACATGACTTTTCATAGATATTACAACTATAAGGAATGAAGCCTCCTATGCCAATTTCCCAACATCATCATCACATATATGGAATCGATCCGTTTCCCCTCTTGTCCCACAATTATTTCGTCCACAACACTGCATCACAATAATGCTTATGTCCTCTCTTTATCATTTGTATCACATCATCAAAATGCACATATGCAAATGTGTTTGTCTCTAATAAGGTCTAGAAGATGACCCCTTTCTAGATATGGCTCATCATTCCAAGATAGAGCCCTGGGAGGTGAATGTCGGATTGAGAGGAGGCTTCAATGCAAATTGTGGGTGAACAAGAGATTGTAATGAGAACAATGAGTGTGGTCTGATGCCATTTAGTTGGGCGTTTCTCTCCACTTGAAGTTGAGTCCCATGTGTGTTGTGTCAACAAAAGATGCTCTTGGGCGAGAGGTACAGCTCATCTTGTGAGCGTCCTATATTTGAGAGGGCCCTTCTATTTTCAGTTGTCATATTGTGTTGCATGACTTGGGGGGGGGGGGTTGGCTACTACTAACAAATGTAACCACAAGGTGGGCTTCGAAAGAAAGATATTAGGTACAATGTTCAATAAGGCGGTGCCTAGGCAGATTGGGGGCCTGGCCGCCTACCCCCGCCTCTCTCTCTCTCT